ACCTAATAACGTTTTCACATATACGTTGCCAAGAAGCATCTAAATGCCATAGCTATAACTTTGCTCCATGATTGATTGATTTTAACATAGCTTGCTCCTATAACAACAACAATAATAAATAAAAAATAGTTATTAAATTTACATACATTAAATAATAAGAATAAATCATAAGCATAATCATAATTAAATTTATTATATGACCATTCCATATATTTGCCGCAACATGAGTTCAAAAGCTCTTAAGGATAGACATTGGCCTTCTAGGAAAAGACTCAACCAACTCTTCCATGTCATCTCTATCCTTATCGTCATGAGGCTGGGTAAGAAGGTTGTCGTTAATAATTGATTTTAGGGGGTTAACAATCAATTCATCTACATGTTCATGAACTTGCCCTCTCCTCTTAGAAATAGTTGAACATGTCTGAGTGTCGGCTATTATAGCATGTCTCTACCTGTATCAAGTTACCTTTTTTTGTTCATGTCATATCTGTTGTTACATAGAACAAATAATCAACACTTTATCTTTGAAACAAATATTTAAATTAACCCTAAATCTAAAGCTTTTAAAGCTTTTTGAATATGTAAATTTGAAAGCTTTTTAAGGTTTTTGGATTTGCAAATTCGAAAACCTTTTAAAGTTCATAAAAATGCAACTCCATGAACTTTTAAAGCTTTCTGGAAATACAAATCTGGAAACTTTTAAAGCTTCCAAATTTGCATTTTCAGAAACTTTTGAAAGTTTTTAGATTCGTATTTCTAGAAACTTTCAAAAGTTTCTAGATTTGCAAATCCGAAAACTTTAATAAATTTTCAAAAATGTGAATATGAAAGGCACGAATTTCACATGAATCTAACCTAAATTTACAAAATCAAACTTGCAAAATCAAATAATATAAAAAAAACCCATAAATTAAAGATTTGTGACTTGATTAACTCCAAATCCTAGTGATTTTAGGGTGATTTTTTGGTAAAAAATTGAGAAATTTTGTTTTAGTGTTTGAATAAGTTTTAGGTGTTATTGCATTTAATGATGCAATGGTGTTATGGGAAATTAGGGTTTAGGGGCTTTGAGTGTAACGAGTAAAAATTTGTTTTCAAGATTTGAATTTTGGGTGTGTTTAGAATGTGAGTATATAAAGTAAAAATAAGTGTTTATATAGACCAAAAGAATGAAAATTTTTTATTGGACCCTTAGTCTATTTTATTTCTCTAATGCATGTAGAATGTTCAATCACACTAAAATGCTATTTGCCAAACAGCTTCCAATGTGATTAGACATCTCAACTGAATCACACAAAAACTCATCCAAATGAGTCTTAAATGAGTGTCGTTAAATAGTGAGATCATCCAAGTTGTTTGATTGCTTCTATTTTTGCAATAGTGTACATACAAAAGATATAAAGATTTATAAAAATAAAATGAAAAAAATTAATTATTAATAGTAAAATTATTTTAATAATAAATTATTATAAATAAATTAATCAAGATAAAAGGAATATGTATCATTGTTAAGTTACTTAAAAAGATTGTAAAATGAATTATATTTAATAGTTAAAATATTTTAATTTTAAAAAGATTAAGTTTTCGATTTGTGCTACTTTATAAACTTTTAGATATTTTTAAATTTTAAATATAAATATTTAATTTTTTATTTGAATTTAAAATATAAATAAATTTATACATTATTGTATATATTGTGAAAAAAGAATTCTATATAAACGTTCACATCATCAAATTTTATTCAATAATTTTATTTCTTATAATATAATATACACAAATATAATAAATATATATATTATATACATATAAACACACACTAGTAGAAGACTCGCTATACGTCTGCTAAAATTAAACATAATATTAAAATAACATATGATAATAGTTTTATTCAAGCGTTGAATTCAAAAGGCTGCAAAGTTTTAAAATAGAATATAAATAAATATATAAGTAACACCTTAAAATGTTGCCAAATCTAATCAGGTAATTCTTGATAAAGAAAGACATGCGAAATAAATGTTATTGGTTGTATCATTTCCAAGACGCAGCTTTCTTAATATCATGAATAATTTTTAAATTATAATAAAATATTTAATATGATATTTAAATTTAAAATTTTTTAAATATATGATTTAAATTATAAATTTATTAATTAATATGATATTTAAAAAATTATTTGTTCATAATATATTATTACTTGAAATTAATCACCTTTATTCATCACGTATCATCATTTGAAATTAATAACATTAAAAATAAATATTAATTTAATTAATAGATTCATAATTAAAAAAATTTTTAAAATTTAAATACCGTATTAAATATTTTATTATAATTTAAAAATCATTTATGATATTAATCCTTAAATTTTAAGCAACTATCAATTGCTAACTATTTTCTATCGCTCGCAAAAGTTTTGTTATGATCATTGTAAGTTACTAGTCAAGATTGGCTTTAATATAATAAATTAATAAATAACATATTACTCCCTTCGCCTCAATTTTCTTTTTGTCTTGCATTGATTTTTATGAAATTAAAAAAAAATTGCTTTAATTTATTTAATGTTAAAATTAAAATATTTATAAATTAAAAATTTTAATTTTTAATGTTAAAAAATAAAAAAAATAATTAAAAATAATTTTAAATAAATAAGAGTAAGAATTTTAGATATTAAAAAAAAACATAATTTTAAGACATCCAAAAAAATATAAACATAAAGAATGAAACAAAAAAATAAATAATTTTATAATATATTAAAATAATATATTAAAAAGAATATTATATTAACAAATAATATATTAGTAAATATTATTATATTATTAATAATAATAAATAAAGTCTAAAAATTTTAATCAATTTCTCATACATGTTTTCATTTTGATATTTCTAAAATAAAAATATTCTATCCAAACATATTTTAAATTTAATAAATTAAAAATAAAACAAAATAAAATATTCAAAAATATAAAACACACAATAATATCAAAACGTTCCTTAAATTATCTAAACTTATATATTAAAACAATTCCGTAATGATTATCTACCGACACTGCCCATATAAAAATAAAAAATTAAAAAATTAAAAAATTAAAAAAATAAAAAAACTATTTTGCCCCTAAAAGAAAATTAATAAAGGAGTGGCTCGACAAAATGCTAAAACCATCGAAAAGCCGTACTACCATTAAACCCACCGTTACCAACCCACTATCAAACCCATCACCAAACCCTGACCACCTACCATCATAGCCTGCTTTCACTAAAAAAAAAAAAAAACTTCCGCTTCAAAGAAAAAACACACCGAAAGACCTCCCATTATTACGGCCACCAAAATAAAAAGGAGACGAAAAACACGTTAAAAAATTCAGTCTCATCACCAACAAGGGGAGCCATACAAAAAACAAAACCAAAACATATCTCGTACAGTTTCGATTTAGGACATTTAGGGTGTTTTGAGCTTTGATTTTTGGAGGAGAGGAAGACATTGGGGAGGAGAACGACATAGTGGGAGATGGAAGCGTTTTGAGCGACGGAGGACGAGTTTTTGAGGAGTGACAATCGTGGGTTCAAACTTAGATCTAGGCCCATTTTTGAGTTTTTGAAAAACAAAAAAAAAAAAACTGATTTGAGAAAAGAATAGAGGAAGTCAGGAATTTTTTTGGGTGATTTTTGGATTTTTTTACGTCAGCGAATGGCGGTGCACGGCAGCAATCGGCTAGACTTTTGGAAAAGGGGCGATGGTCATTTATTTTGTAGAGGGAAAATGTTTATGAGAGAGCAGAGGGTTTAAATATGGGAAGAAAAAAATGTAATAGAATATTTTATATCTAATTTAAAAAAAAACACGTGCCTCCGCATATCGATCCGGATCGGAATCTGAGACTAATGTGTCAGATCCGATTGCAAGTATTTTTTTGTTTTAATTTTTATTATTTTATTTCATTTATTTTTTTGTGATTTTATTAAAAAAAAAAAAATCAACCAACGAAGCATGCCAGGAAAGAACGAATTGTGTCTTTGTTTATGGCATATAATCTTCTAAAAAGTAGTAGGAAAATGATGCGATCGTAGAAAACTTTTTAAAGTTTCATTTTCTCTAGAAAAGAAATAACAAATTGACCAAATCGAATCCAATTGACACCTTAAAATATTTTGTCAAGATCTGATCCAAGGTGCTCATGGAAGCTCATTTATTTGTTTATTTATTTTTCAAAATTTATTATTAAAATATCTTTATATTTATAATTTTAAATATATATTTTAATAAAAATTAAATAAAACTAAATATGCTAATGAATCGAGTCAGATAAAACTCGAGTTTAAAAGTTTTTATTTAAGATTTGATCAAATTAAAATAAAGTTTTCATATCGAGTGATCAATAAATTTATTATAAAATTATTTATATTTTACTTGTAAATGTTGTTGTACATATGATTCTTTATGTTTTATGAAAAATAAAATTTCATCTTATATGATATAATACTTTGATAATATTAGTTTTGGCTTTATGTTCTCTAATTAAGCTTATTTTCATAAGTAATATATGTATTTACAAACTATTAAGAAGTTTGAATGATAGCAAATTGATATGAATTTCAAATGAATTTGAACAACAATTGATTAATTTCAAATGAAATGAAAGTAGCATTATGAAACTATTGTACATATTCTTTGATATACTCGATTGACATTAAGGGACTATACTGTGTAAATTTCTAATCATAAGAGCTTCTTCATGGTTGTAAATAAAAAGGAAGTAATTAAGCCATGTCAAAGTCCACGTAACAACAAACAGATGTGATTAAATCCGAAGGGATACCTTGCAACATATGATTATGGTGAAAGTAAAACTATTTTCATAACATCGAAAATTTATTGTTTTTATCAAAATGCAAGCACGTGCGCACATACATATACATAAATATATACATGTATATATATATATATATATAATTCCATATTTAGTCCTAAAAATGTATTTAAACAACATGGACCCTTAAACCTATGAAATGAACATGCTTTGGCCTATATCAAACAAATTAAAGTTCATGTAACAGCAGTGATGAAGAATGGTAAAGAAGCATTTGTGATCAATTCTTACATTACCTATCTATTTACATATAAGGAATTCACTCTAATTACAGTTCATCATAACGTGCAAGAAACAAGAAAAAATATCCAACATAATTAAGTTGCCAGTCACCATTCCAAAGCTGAAAACAAAAGAAGCGGCTCTTACTGTTACAAAGTTGGTTGGTCATAAAAGAAACGACACTCAAAAGTCAATAGGGCTCTATGTTGGACGATGGAAAGCCCCCACTATAAGCAAAAGACTCGTCGCTGTATGGATGGAGATTCGCTCCCTTGGTTGCATTCTCGTAAGTTGCTGAACTTGATGCTGATTCTGCATTGGGATTCATGCCAGCCAGCTGCATAATGTCTTCAATCTCTTTCAGCACTTCACTCATTGGAGGCCTGTCAGCTCCTGATTCTTCTACACATCTCATTGCCAGGTCCACAAACTGTTCTAAGCCTTTGGGTGTTGTACCCAAACCAATGGTTTGGTCAAGAATCTCTTGAAGATTATATAAGCTTTTTGTTTTGTCCATTGACATTCTCACCTCTCTGACAATATATTTCCCTCGCTCTATGGGTTTTCTTGCAGTTATTATCTCCAACATCAGCACTCCATAGCTATAGACATCACTCTTCTCAGTCAACTGCTGGGTCATATAATATTCAGGATCCAAATAACCCTACAACAGTAACAAAGTCATTCATTAAACACCTTAAACCATTTTATCCTTCTCTTTTTCAGAGGAAATTTGTTAAACATGAAATCCAGTTAGTCATAATTATAGAAATTGTTGCATTTTTCTTTTAAAATCCCAAATCATGAATGCATATTTTACACATTTGACATAGTGGTCTAATAGGTGACACCGATTTGGAGACAGAGATTTAGACATTTTTGAATGTCAACTAATTCTCCTCTCCCTTAGAAACATTTTAATCACGCTTCATTGACCTGACCAAGCAGTTTAAAACACGACACCAAAACAATATGAAAAATAGACACGAAGAAGACAAAAATCATTTATGTGTTTAACGAAAACAGAAAAAATATATATTTCATGTTTTTTTTGTCAACATGAATTGTGACATATAATTTTTGTATAAAACACGACATAAAACTTGAATTACTAATGTTTTACACAATATGAATAAACAATTTCATGTACTAAAACTACTATGGTTGCGGTAGATGCTCAAATGTATTAATAATTCATCATCTATAAAGGAAGGGGGCAGTCGAGGGGGAGAAAATACCATCCTTTACTGCAGAAAGAAAAGAAAAAATTAAAGATCTATTAGAAGAACTCACCATTGTGCCTTTCACTTGAGTAGTTACATGACCCTTTTCACTGTCACCCATGGGTTTGGAGAGACCAAAATCAGCAACTTTAGCATTTAAGCGTTCATCTAATAAGATGTTAGTGGACTTGATGTCCCTATGAATAATGGGAGGATTTGCAAGCTCGTGAAGATATGCTAGACCTCTAGCTGCACCAAGGGCTATTTTGAGTCGCCTAGCCCAGTCCAGTCTGATTCCTGACTTCCCTGCATTATTTTCCAAATACGAGTGAAGAAAAAGCTCTTGGTAAAAGTCAAAGATGCTTTGTTAAGCAATAAACTGGAAATTAACAAGCAAAATCATCATTAGGGATATTGATAAATGTTTTCCTGCAGTGAGGTTAAAATGTGAAATTCTTTGATATGAGGGTCTTATATAGGACATGAGAGTGACAAAATGGTTGAAAGTTGAAACTAAAGAAGCACTGGAGTTATATTGTTAAGACTTTGAGGTTATTTTCCCCCTCTACACTAGCAGTGTCTTATAGGCTTATCAAAAAATTTATTTCATTTCTTGGTGCAGTTAAGGGCATTGTTAGATAAAAGGTAACATTGTCAGGTGGTGATGAAAGTGAGCATGACTGAATGGTAAAATGTAATTTAATTATTGATAATGTAATTCAATTTGGATGAATAAAGTAAGGACACATAGAAAGGTACCTGACAGACTTTCACTAAGAGAGCCATTAGGAACATACTCATATATTAGCATTTGTTCACCTTGCTCAAAGCAAAATCCCAATAGACTGACAACATTTTTATGATGAACTCTTGATAGAAGCTCAATCTCTGTTTTAAATTCGAGCCCACCCTGCACAGATCCTTGTTGAGCTCGTTTGATGGCAATGAGTTCCCCTGTCGGTAGAGTTCCTCTATAAACCTGTAACTAAAGAAATTCAGAATTATTTGGAAAAAATAATTTTAAAAATCACCATGACCTGCTAAAGAGATCCTTCTCAGCATCAGAAATAGTTAGAGACAGAACAAATGAAAACACAGGTGAGCAGGAGCAAAGGTTAGAAAATAAATCCAGAAGTAGTGTGTGTGTGTGTATATATATATATATATATTGCCAATAATCCAGAAGTGCTCTTGTTTATCACTTGGTTTATTCATAAAAATTGCAATTCATAGCATATGCTAATAATATGCAGATTAATATAAGTATCATTGTATTACGTGGTTGAGATCAGTATACTGCATGTAAATTTTTATGAACACAACATAGCACAAAAAGAAATGCATATATAATCAAATATGTAAATCCAGCCTAGTCGTGCTGATTGGCCGCCATCTGCTTGCAATAGTGTTATCTAATGGTGAAAGAACACAGCAAGAATATTTTATATGAACATAGGCATACCCTAGATCCATAAGTGTTTAGACAATCAAATGCTCTAACTAATGAAAACATCTTACAGTTGATTATTCCAATTGACATGCACCTGTTTAGACATGCACATGCACTAAATAATGAAGACATGTCATATATGCATCACAGTCAACTATTCCAATTGACATTTTAAATATTTAAGCAAACACATTCTACATGGTCTTGAACCACATTACACAAATGTAGTTACTAATTTATTCTTTGTTATTATCTCTTTATATGCAACGAATAATTCTCTTTATGGTTATTATCCCTATTCTTTACCCTTAGAGTGTTTCCTATAACAACATTGTAATCTATTTAAAACTTCCCTCCTTTAAGGTAAAAAGTTCAATGCAAACACAGTGTGTAAATGGGGCTAGTGCTAGGGGCCTCAAATGAAAGCATGAATAAGATGACATTTTTATTTCAGATCTATACTTACATTTATTTCTGAAAATCATGTATCTAAATATGTGCGTGTTTGAACACAGTCTGTTGCCTTGATCACCACTCATTTGCAATAAGTTACAAATTTCAATTTGTCTCACTGCAATCAGTCATTAGACAGAACCACCAAAATGACATGGAGAATGAGACCACCTCTATGGAGCCAAGTTACCATAGGGATGCATGTTTTTGGTGAGTATGCATCACAAACATGTAATACAGAGAGAGAATGAGAGTCAAAAATAACCTTTCCGTAACCCCCCGATCCAATATCATTGGCTTCTGAAAAATTATTTGTGTATTTCTTAAGCTCTTCAAAAGAGAAGCTTCTTGCTCCTTTTAACTGAGGGATGCTGCCACTGCTCTTCTTAGAATCCCAGTGTGCTATGTTTTTAAAGACAAGAATCAGTCATAAACCCCAGATATTCCATGCAATCAACTGGAAAAGGTAAGTGAATGAAATACTTATCATACCAAAAGGATTGCTTCCTTTGGTTGCTCTTTCTGCTTTCTTCTTCTGACGATAAGCATAAATCCCAGCAAGCACTAACAGTAGAAAAAGCACTGAAGCACCAGCTGCTGCTCCTATTGTGATGGCAACACTAGATTTTGTTGATTTTGCAGGTTGATCTAGATGACAAGACACATGCAATGAAAATGATGAATGTAAATAAACAGAACTTTACAAATTTATTTTAGCTCTATTGCATGTGCATTACCAGAAAAGTGCTCATAATTGTCACCCCCAAAAACATAAGGTCCAAAGAATTCTTTAGGAGGCTTGAAAGTCTGGTTGCTAAATACAAATGCAATCATAGAAATTGCGGTTCTATTGAAACTATCTTGGCCATATGGAAATACACCAAGTTTCAAAAGCAGATATTCAAATGAATCCATCCTTGGATTGCTTAGTGATACAGTATCCACAGGAAGTTGATGGGACTGGAAGAATGTCATCAACGATTGCTCAAGAGTTTCATATGGAGTTGAGTCTGTCAAGTCTGAGAAATTAAGGGCTCTGAAGAATAGTGTTCCTGTATATGGATATGCACATCTGCATATGGGGCTTGAAATTTGACCTTGACCACATGTATAAGGCTGACAGTTCTTTCTAGGGGTTGAATACAAAGGCAAGGAATTTGATGGCGGTAGTATGCAGTAAGGTTCTCTTGTTCCTGTCTCCTGACACACCGGGTTCCCTACAAGTCTGCAGAAAATGGAAGAAAGAACTTCAGCGCTTGAAAAGCATTAATAACGTTTAATGTCAACTATATGTATCTGCAGGCAATTTAACTTTCAAGGAGTATGAGAATACAAGTATAGTTATTTAACAAAATAAAAGCCAAAAATAATCCCCAGACAAATGATTAGAGAATTATGGCTTACATTATTTTAAAGTTGATTGTTCCAGTATTTCTATTGAAATCAGAAATCAAATTGTTCTGCAAATCTATGGTTTGCAGCCTGCTGCTAAAGCCTGAGCCAATATCCAAGGTACCATTAAGTTGGTTGCCTTTAAGTACCCTGTAAACAATATAACAGCAAAAGGGGACAAAAATCCAACTATCATTTCCAGATTGTGACAGCTATATAAAATAATTTGTTTCGATCCTCATTTCCAGTACAATTGGTGTTACATAAGGTCAAGCACACTCACACAGTCTGCAAATTTGGAAGCTTAAAGAATGTGGCAGGTATTTGACCTCGAACATGAGTATCGTCCATCATTCTGCCATACAAATGAATTGATTATTCTCCCAACTACAGAAAAATAACTGTGAGAAAATGGATATATTGGCAGAAGTACTTATGCAGGCACGTAAATGTCGAGAGTTGCAGATAGAAAAAGCAAACAAAGAAAGTTTTTCTCATCATATCATGTCCAAGGTTAGATCTATAATGTTACAATTTCCAGGTGAGCAAGGATATTTGATAATAATATCATTTTAGGGAAAGATGGTGGACATGCTAAAAATGAGAAAGTGTCAACAAGACTATAACCCACCAGCATGGTTACACCAGTGCAGGAAAAGATATAGCTTATGATATAAAAGAATGCATGGTCCTAGACTTAGTCAAATGGTAGAAAAAGAAATTTGGTTTTACACTTAAAACAGTTAGGATATTTCAATCTTCAGTTAAATTTAATGTATCTGTGTTGAGAGAGTGGAAAATACAATGTTGTTAAGGATCGCAGGGCTGTAAACCATGAAGGCACATCTGAAGTATCGAAAGTATTATTACTCAAGTATCTGCACAATCAAGTAATAGAACAAAGATTAGTAATGACAATTAAATTGTGTACAGTTATTAAACAAGACAACAAAGATGAGCATAATTTTACTTGGAGATACACAAAAATAGGAAAGGAACAAGAATAAAATGACAGGAGCATCAAAGCATAGTATGAGAAGACCAAAGACTCACTATATTATGGGTAGAGTTAGTAAAGCATTTGTTACTCACAAGGTGTTCAAACTGTTCATGCCAGTAAGGTCAGGCAGAGGACCAGTCAGCTTATTGTTGGATAAAAACCTAAAAATCAACACCAAATGCTCTTGATTAAAAGAGGACAATAGTTTCTTTCCGTCCTACATAAACAAGTGCAGAAGACTATGAGCCTTTTATGTTCATAGCTTACAGATCATGAACGCTTGTAAGATTGTTGAGATTCAATGGAAGATGCCCATTTAGTGAATTGTTGTCAAAGCGTCTGTAGCCAACACAATAAATTTATCAGTCACCACCAAAAAACCCTGTAGAAATTCACTTCCATCAAAAACCTCAACATGAATTCACTTGAGTAGTTGAACTAGATACTCACACCACCTCCAGAGTTTTCACAAGTCCAAGGGTAGAAGGAAGACTTCCAGAGAGTTTGTTGCTTTCAAATAGCCTGGCAGAGAGAGGAAAAAGAAATGTTTCAAATGTACACAAATGCATGCTCTTATTTCTTGAACTTCATCACATTAAAAGAAAGATTAGGCAGAACGAGCTTGCACACAACTTTGCAATTCCTTGAAAAAAGAAACAAGAGAAAGAATTCATGTCCCTCTCTCTTTCATAAGGATTTGCCTAAATATGAAGAAGAAGCAAACCTTTTATATGGGCTGTTAAAGGTTGAGAAAGAAATCATAGTTTATAGAAGAAATTTGTTATACGAATGTGCTTCTTCTGAAGTTCAGAACACAGTTTGTCTTTTCCAAAGATCTTTCCATGTAAGTCAAGTAATACATTGCAAAACCTACTTTATAGAAAATTGAATGGAACTTACACATGTATCAGAGTCATATCTGAACTGAAAAGTTTAGATGGAACTTGGCCAGAGAGTTTATTCTTCCCAAAATGGCTGTGGATGGTGGAGAACATTACTATAAGGAAAATAGAACCATGGCAAGAAAAGCATCTAAACAGATATAAACTACAAAGAAATTTAACATACAAGTGTTTGGTATTATTCAACATGTCAAGCCCTGGTGTAGATCCATTTGAAACTGGAATTGATCCTTCAAGCTGGTTGTCAGCCAGATCTAACCAGTAAAGATTTGATAGATTACCAATTGATGGTGGAATAGGTCCAGTGAAGCCATTAGAATTTAGAGATCTGCAGGCAATACAGACCAGCATGAAATTACTCTGATTAAAAGAGGTAAAAGAATAACAAGTAGATATAGCGAAGCCAAAACATTATACAGCACACAATCTTGGAGCCTCAAACCAAAGTTTTACTAGATGCCAAGGTTATGCCCTTTACTTAATAGTAATCCATGCCAAATCACCAGAATCCGAATGGAATAGTATGTTTATTAGTCACTGCAGAGGAAGAAGTATTAAAGATCAAATTCTTACAGGAACCTCAGCTGCAACAGAGATCCGATTGTATCAGGAATTGGACCATTGAAACCACAACCAACCAAGATTCTGCCATTTATAAGAAAAATAAAAATGTAATTTAAGAGAATTGCATGAAGAACTTTGCTTCCAGGTGATGCTTTGGCAGGGAATATATCTCCTTACAAGTTTGTTAGCTTCTTTAAATTTCCAATTGATGTTGGAAGAGGTCCTGTGAGACCAGTATTGTAAGATAGATCCCTGAAAAATGAAGCCAAATCAGAGATGTTATACTAACCACGGAAACTACTACCTCTAACAATTTGATAAAAATGGATATATTATTCATTGAAAGAAATCAAAGAAACAAATTTTATTTTTATTTGTAGGTGTATAAGAATTAGTACATCCCTTTGTATCCAAAGAGCAGCCCTTAGATACCTGAACATTGAAGTCTCCCAAGATAATAATTTAAAAAGAAGAAGAGGAAGAAGATAAACAAGTGCTCTACTACTCAAAAACCAACATTTACACGAAGAAAAGGAAAAAAAAATGTTTAGAAGGATGGTTCAAAAAAGCCAGTTGCACAATGACCTCCATGAAGAAAGGAGGCAGACAGCGGGCAAAAGGACCTACAATTGCTGTAATTCAGATAAGGCCGCAATGTCTCCTGTCAGTTGTCCCGCGAAGTTCATGTTTGGCAATGTCCTGAAATAGATAAATGCTAGGTAAAATCCCAAATCTGGAAGAACCAAACTAAACAATGTTTTAAAAGGTAGAAGCACCAACAACTTACATTGAGGTCAACCGAGAATCAGTGCACCCAATTCCAACCCAGCCATCACCACAAGGGTCCTCACCCTCCCAACTATGAGGTACGTTTTCCCACCCATTCACAAGAGATTTTAGAGCAGTAGCTGCAGATGAATTGGACAACGTTTTCCCTTGGTCAGACACCAAAGCTGAATTCTGATGTAGCATTCCAAATCATTTGAAATAAATTGTCATGGAAGGAATACAAATAGATTTAGCCCTCTAACTTGACCCAGGTTCAGGCACCTTCTGATAGTGAATTTCTTTGATTGGTTGACCCCAAACCAAATAACTAAAAGCTACAAGCATTTTAGAGTCAAGACCGTCCTGATAAAATTAGAAGAATTCCTTTTTACCAAAAGGTTTGAATAACTTTCAATATTCAGTTCTTAGTAGGCAAGTTCCTATTTAAAAACACAGGAAGAATAATATTGGTATTTAGGCAAACATACATAGATCACATATTCTCATCTACTCGACTTAATCACTAATATACGTTCTATATGCGAGAACTTGCAATCTCCGAGCGCGTATCATCTTTACAGTAAGTTAAGAAACTTAGATAGCATATATATAGTCAATTACATTATCTCCAAACCAAAGCCAAAGAACAGCGGAATTATACTATAAGAAAACAAAACAGTAATAATTGGAGGCAAACTTACCATCACCAGCATTAGTAGTAGCTGCTATGATATAGATTTGAACAAAGGAAGCTAGCAAAAGAAACCAAATGGCTGAATCCATTTGTGAAATAAACCAAAGGGTTCAGAGTTCAGAGTTGAACACCTCACAACTATTTTCGGTTTCTAATTTTGCATAAAACATAAAACCCATGCAACATCAACCAGTTTGGAATTCTAGCTTCAACTTCGTTATGTTCAAATGAGAACACAATATATTATTATTCCAGATGTACCAAAAAACATATGTGAAAGGATCTACAAATTGCAATTTGCCCAAACAGCACTAGAATAAACATGAGCACCCAAGTCTTGGCTATATCTTAACTCAAAGAAGAAGACGACATGATAGTCAACAACGTCAAGTTTGGATGGATGAGATCAACAAAACGATTACACGGTAGACCTGTATGTCATAAAGAGCCGGACCCCAGAGCGGTTTGTATAATATTAAAATATGAAAGTTCATTGTTGCACAAAAACAAGGCTTTCCAGCCAAATTGTGATTGGTGGGTCTCCTATAAAAGTCGCTTTCAAAGAAACATTCAAACCAAGAAACCAGCATAGACAAGCAGTGTAGACTTGGTCAAAAGAGGAAGAGAATCATACCTACGGCCAATAATTTAAGCTCTGAGCTTTTAAAGTCTTCAGCCATTCCCTCTTCCGCTGGATTCATCGTTTGTCCTTTCCTGCATAATCGTGAATGGTCAAACCAAATGGAATGATGTAAGAAATGCGTAGGCAATGGCCAACAATGGTGGGCTGAGCTGAGACTGACAACTTGATGGAAGACCAAAGTGAGGGGTTAAAGTCTTAAATGTCTTCAAGTCTTGAAGCTGTTGAAGGAAAAGAAATACTTTATTGTAAAGTCAAATAATAATATTGCCTATAACATAATAAATCTTAAAAAAAAAAAATTCTCCTCACTCCTGCTACAGTTTAAAAGAAAGGATCCCAACAATAGGAGACAAGAGAAACAGAAAGCTATGCTCAATCTGTATGAATTCGAAACAAACCATTCAAATGATTAATACAAAATAATCATTGAAGTCCAAGGTTTAATGCCATTTTAATTTGTCGTAAAATACCCTTGAAACGCTAGGGGTAATTTTCTCGGGTCATCACCATTATCAAGACACTCATATCACACCTTAAGATCTAGCTGGCAGTTTAACAGCTTCTGCTATTAGTAGACTTACATTTGAATCAATTAACATGATATTAAAATTAATGCTCCAAAATCCTGAGTTCATAGAATTTATGCGCACAATAATAAATGTAGAAGTTAAGGTAAGACTAGAAATTAAAAAAAAAAAAAATCTACTGCTGTAAAGCATCATGGATGGAAGTGGCATTTCTACTCTCTGGTAACCAACAGCTTTTTCTTGGCCCAACAAGAAGCTGACCTACATATTGTCAAATCTTCCTTCGTGTACTTTTAATTTTTAAGCTAGAGGATCACACAATAATTTTGCTTTGTGTACTTTTAAATCCAGCTAAAAACAAGATATCACCATTTCAAAATTTATAGCTGGTCATGACAAGAACACTACCGAAATAAACTTTTAGTTAGGCTATAACAAACCACAGTTATCCATCAAAAAAGTCTAACCTTCAATAATATCCACACAAATAAAGGATAACAAAAATCTCCGAGAGAAATATCTTAAGGTTGAAATTAGTGTTACATCTCACAGATTTAAGAAAGAATTTTAAGTTTTATATCGAATATAATAAAAGAGTCATTGATGTATAAAAAGTTTCAAATCATTTTTTTTAAGCACCTTTTATAAGATAAAATCATGAAATTAGAGGATAAAAGCGAATAAACAGTAACGGTTAGGTTAATCTGAAACATCAGATGAGTGGATGCTCAAGTTTCAGAGCCGCGTAGGTTTGGAAAACCTAAGAAAGAATCTTGAATCTCGAATATAATAGGAGGGTCACTAGAGTATAAAAATGTTCACACCATCTCTTAGAGCGAAAAATACCTCACAAAAATATAAATCGTAACAGTTAAGCTGATTTGAAATTTCGGATGAATGGATGCTCGACTCTCGAACCACGTAAATTTAAAAATTAAGTCTCGATCCATGACATATGTAGGTAACTGAATACATCTCAATAAATAACTGAATACCTCTCGATTTAGAGTATTTTGCAAATTCTAAATTGATTAAAACGGGGGAGGGGACGTTACAAGAATTTGAAAAAAACAACTCTTTTTGTTGTTGTCATCTCTTAATTTTTAGCTTCTATAGTAAGAATTCATTTAGATAGATATTGAAATTAATTATAATGAAATAAAAAATAAAAATGATGATGAAATTAAAATTAACGTGAGAAAATGTGTTTGGTCAAAACAACTATAGCAATTATGTGAAAATAAAAAATATCATAAAAACCATTAATACGAAAATATATTTATAAATTATTCTCATGTATATTTTATTGTTATTTAATATTTAAAATATTAAAAATTTTAATAGGGTTTTTAGGTTAAGGGCATTGAAAACAAAAATTATTTAAGGGTACAATTGAAAAAAAATATTAATGTAATATTTTGTAATGTTATGTAATTATTTAATCTAATATAATATTAGAGATTATGATAATTAAAATAATATATATGATTATGATACAATTATAATATTATATAAGATTGTTTCATTAGTTAGTAAATCTTTTGTATATAAATAACACACCTTTTTATAATATTTTTTTAACCTAATAAATTTAGAATTACTTCTTTTTTATAATTGTATTAGAGCCTTTCCCTTTGGTTTTTGCCTAGAACTTCTTTGGTTTTTGTCTAAATGGATTTGTGTTTCTTGAGTTCTGTTAAATATACGAATTTTTCAGCAACCACAAAGCAACAGCGGCACAACCAAAAGATTCCCAATCCTTCGCTCATTTCGATGCTGATAATAGAACCTAAATTCGACTTCTCACACATCGATCAAAGTCCCAGCATAAAATTGCCCATCCGTGAGTGGGCTTCACATAGTCACTAATAGCCAAGTCATCTTCCACCTATACTGCCACATCAACTTCCGAACATGCCATGTGTCATCAACCATATCAGCATCTGACACATCAACACCTGCCCTGCCACATTATCACATTAGCACCACTAACGTCTGCCATGTCAGTAATTTTGACAGGTCAACTTTCTTGCTATTTTTGACCTCCTGGCTTTATTTTTGACATCTGTTTCTGCTAATTCTGCTTGGAAAATGGATAAATTTGTTACTAGGTATGAGGGATGAATCTCCTTTAAATTTAAGGAAAAGCTTTTTCCATGTTGATCCTCTTAATCTATTGACACTGTTACCTCTGAGGGAAGTACTACTCTCATTATTGACAATCTTGTTATTATTTTAAAGCATGTTATCTCTTCCCATTCCTATTCTTTTGCACTGTCTGTCACTTTGGGTAATTCTTCTTGGTATTTTAACTCTACTTGTTGCAATCATATGAATTCTAATTCTTCTATCTTAAGAAATAAAATGTCCACATCATGTCTTCCTCCAATCCATACTATTAATGATACAAAAATGCATATCATTCACATTAGCCACGCTTCTTACTCATATCTTAGTCTTCCCGATACCATTTGTGTTATCAATTTAGCCTTTAAAGCTTGTTTCTGTCGATCAATTATGTGATCTTAGTCTTGCTGTTATTTTGTCTTCTTCTGGTTGTAACGTACGTGATCCACAAATAGGGAAGATTCCTGGACAAGTAGTATGGTGGGATCATTGTTTGAGCTTGTCTTTCTTCATCATTCTATTAAACAAGTCTTGTTGCCACAAAAACTACTCCTTCCCTGTATGAGTGGCATTTCTATCGTAGTCATGCTGCCATAAGTAAACTTCAATAAGTAAACTTCATCCTTTGGTCTCTCGTGTGTTGTTAGGGTCTACTAAATTTGCATCTTTTCATTGTTTGAATTGTCAACTCGGTAAACGGCCAACCTAGTCTTTTAATAATAGTTCTTTTATTTTTTATTCTCCTTTTGGGTTTGTCCACTCAAACGTTTGGGGTCCTTCACTTGTTCCTTCAAAAAGTGGTTATCAATTATTTGTTATATTTATTAATGATTATTTCTTGTTCTACATGTATTTATTTCTTTAAACAAAAGGTCTGAGTTACCTCAATTTTACATAAAGTTTGCTTCTATAATGTTAAAATCTAGTTTTCGTATATTATTAAAAACACTTCGAACGGATAATGCCATGGATTATAAAGAAACTCTCTTCTCCAGTTTCTTGATTAATAGCTGAATATGCACCTGATTTACTTCTTGGGTTGGTCTTACTGACAGTAAAACTATCTCTACCATTTTAGAACTTATCTCTACCTTTTTTAGAACTTACAGTTAAGCATACTTTGATGGACGGTACTCTATTCTCTAATCTTACTTTATATCACCAAGTTGTTGGTAATCTTATTTATCTAAAGTAACTAGACCTAATATTGCTTATGTTATTCATCTAGTTAGTCAATTTATGGTTGCTTTTTATATTGGCTGCTTTTTATTCAACTCAATTTTTAGCTGTTTTTCGGATTCTCCGCTTTGTCAAAGGCACATTGTTCATGGGCTTCAATTTTCATTTTTGTTTGGGAATTCTGATGTTGACTAGGCCAAAAATCCTACAGATTGTCGTTTCACCACTGGTTATTGTTTCTTTTTTAGGAATTCCCTCATTTCTTGGCGAAGCAAGAAATAAATTGTAGTTGCTCAATCTAGCATTGAATCATAACATTGAGCTCTTGCTAATGCCAATTTAGAATTACTTTAGCTTTGACATTTATTAGAAGATATGGACATCTCACCATCCTTTGCCACCAAACTTTATTGTGACAATCACAGTGCTATCCAGACTGCTCGCAATGCGGTGTTTTTATGAGCTCTCCAAATATATTGAGATTGATTGTCATTTTTTACGCCATCATGTGACACAAAGGACTATTCTTTTGAGTTTTGTGTCTTATTCAAATCAAACCGTTGATATTTTTACCAAGATACATTGTCCTGGTCGTTTTCAAGAATTCATCAACAAACTCAAGCTGGTACATGTTACACTACCGTGAGTTTGAAGGGATGTTAATGTAATTTTTTGTAATATTATGTAATTTTGTAGTTAAACATAGTATTAGGAATTATTATAATTAAAATAATATATAAGAAATTAAAAGGATCATAATATCTAACTTTCATTTTTTAGGAAGAACTTATAAACAAGAGTGATGCAAGACTATATAGATTGATTTTCTCTTTAAAATATTTTATATGTGGTATTGACAAAAATGATGTAAGACCATAAAAATTAACTTTTTCATTGAAAGAACTTCCATCTTTTAGGTAAACATCATAACAATCACTTTCATTTCAAGAAAAATTTGTACATGAAAGTAGTATAAAACTCTATCTTTTTTTTTTAAGAAAGTGAT